AATTGGGTCACTTCTGCCATCCATGACCGTAAAGTCCCATTCGTAGGTGCTGCTGAATGTCGTGCCCCAGAGGAAAGGGATGAAGCCTAGTACTGCGCAGAGGAAGCTACCTTCCTGGGAGAGTGGGGGTTTGAGTACTGTGATCCCTCTCAAGAAGCATTGAACCCCTCCTGCTCACACAGTGAGGCTCTTGTAAGAGTAAGGGACTCTTACAAACTGATGACTTGTTACTTTAGCTTAGATACTTAAACCTAGAAAGCCTAAACTTAAAGAAAACTTGAAATGACATCTTCTCAAAAAAAAAAAAAAGTTCAATGATTATAGATGCTATTCCTTTTAAAGCCATCAAGACCTGTTCCTCAGCTGCTATAAATCTCTGTGCTCTCTCTGAACTGCATGAGGCTATGAGGCTTTTTGCCAGCTAAGGAGCTAGCATTCATTTAGCATGTAATTTAAAAAAAATCTGTAAGGCTGCTTCTTTCTAACCACAGCTTTTATCCCAGTCTCACTTTCAGCTGCTGTAGGCATTCACAGCCAGAGTGTGACTTCTATAATGGTGCTGTATAGATACATTAAGATGACCCAGGCATATACTGCCTCCCATCTCTTTTGCCTTCTGTGGAAAAGGGAGTGAGACATATCCACATCTCAGGGAGTTGCAGCCTCATCTTGTCTCTGATGATTTCCACTTTAAGGTGTTGTCTGGTTTTATGAAAAACTTTTAATTCTGTGGGGTTTTTTTATTTTTTTGTTGTTGTTGTTTTTTTGGAGGGAGGTAATTTACATTCTTTTCAATTCTTGATTAGCCATGACTAATAGCTTTCTAAAACAGGTTTGCAGAGTACCACCCTTATCATTTATATAAGAATTCCAATACAGTAGGATGGGGAACTTGGATTGCATTTCAAAGAAATAATCATGTAATATCATTTATTTTTTTCCTTAGTATTCATCCTCCCTACCAGAGACAAGAAACTGTCCAGCCACTGAGAGAAAATAGTGGAAAGTTAATGAACCAGCACAGCATGTCCCATGCTAAGCAGAATCCCGATGACAGAATAGCCAGGGAGGTGAGCCCCATGTGGTATGTCTTTCCTATATGTTGACTCTGTCCTGCTGAATAAACATTTCCCTAATGCTATTTCATTAAATCCTTTTTTTTTTTTTTGCTAGCTATAGTGAAGCTTTTCTTCGAATTATTTTTTGTGTTGGCCTTGTTTTGTTTAGCAGAAGCAGGAAGTTTGATGTTTCATAAGGTTAATTTCCAATAGAGGTTTTAATTTTTCAGTGTAAATAAATGTGGTTTTATTATAATTGATATTGTCAGTCCTCTAAATTGTAGCATACAGTTTTAATTTAATCAAAATATGCTGGAGAATGAAAATTGGCACAAGACTATAGACAAAGATTGCAACTTTATTGTCTTCACTTAACTTTCACATAATCATACTTACGTCTCTTTGGTACTAACTAATGTAATCAAAACTGATTTTATATCTAAGACATGACAATGGCGAAAAGCAGAGATTTGAAAGATTCATCCATTTGGAGCTCTATATATTTTAGACAAATTCCTTCCATTTTTTGTGAATGTTTGCATTTCTAAGAAATGTTGTTTTATTGTTTATATTATTTTAGTTACCTTAGTAACTCAAATAAGAGTCATTTAATTCTATCTACAAATCTTCTGTTTTTTATA